TGTATGGAGAGCTTCTGAAGCATCAGACCAACTTAACTGGCACCCACCCTTAGTTTATTTACCTGGTTATTTGTGCATTCATAAATAATAAACCTTCAGCAGATACTATACTGTGTGCTGGCAAGGGATAAATATTAATCTCTTGGGATTTTTGGCCCCTGTTCTCACCCAACAGGTGTTTAAGTGGTCCTTGTGAGTTTCACCTTTTAGGCAGGGGAGGAGAGGAAAGAAGAAACAACAGACCTCAGATACTCCAAGTCAAGCAGTGGGGGAACATCACTGGGAGAGCCTGGGCCCAGATCCAGCCGGAAGTTACCACTGAAAGAAAAATTACTTCATACTAGGAAAGAAAACAAGAGAAAAGAAGACTTGATGTTTTGTGCTGTTGTGCTGGGCTATTGTTTCAGACTCACCCAACATTATTTTATTTCTTTTTTTTTTTTTTTTGACAAGACGGCGTTTTCACCATGTTGGTTGGGCTGGTCTTAAACTCCCAACCTCAGGTGATCCACCCGCCTTGGCCTCCAAAGTGTTTGAATTACAGGCATGAGCCACCAGATTGTTTAATTTTCTAACAGATTTACCTCTGTTTGACTTTGCTGCTTACTCTCTGTTAGAGTACAAACATAGTGATATTATATGCTGGTTTGTAGATTCGAGAAACGAATTATTTCTGTGCAAAGATTATGGCTTTATTGTCTCCAGCTTACCACCCTCATTCCAGTGAATCCTTGCTAATGGACTCTGTAAGCTTGAGCTCCTCCAGTGCTCTGATCCAGCTTCCCTGTCTCTTATACACTCTTGCTCATTACTGCTTGTATGAGTTAATGTCTTTTAGCTTTCGACAGTTATGCTTTGACATGGTTTGGATGCTGGGGGTGTGTTAAGGTGATTAAAGCAGCCAGCTATTGGTTGTCCTGCAGAGGCTGCTGTCTGTGTGGCAAGTTTCCTTGGGCTCTCCATTAAGTCCAACATCCTTGTGTCCAGAGTGACCCTAGACAAGTCGTCCTTACTGTGTGTACATTCGTTTATGCTGAGCACATCGCTCTTAACCTCAAGTGTTTGTAAGTTGAAAGATTATACTGCCGGGCGCGGTGGCTCACGCCTGTAATCCCAGCACTTTGGGAGGCCGAGGTGGGTGGATCACGAGGTCAACAAATCGAGACCATCCTGGTCAACATAGTGAAACCCCGTCTCTACTAAAAATACAAAAAATCAGCTGGGCATGGTGGTGCGTGCCTGTAATCCCAGCTACTCAGGAGGCTGTGGCAGGAGAATTGCCCGAACCCAGGAGGCGGAGGTTGCAGTGAGCCGAGATCGTGCCATTGCACACTCCAGCCTGGGTAACAAGAGCGAAACTCCGTCTCAAAAAAAAAAAAAAAAAAGAAAGATTATACTAAAGGAGTTTCTGGATTTCTCTTTCCTCTTTCCACTTCCTGGTTTACTGGCAACTCAATACCCAGAACTGGTCTGGCTGTTAAAGAAGAATGAGCCAGCCCTGGGAATAAGGCAGCCTCCAGCTGTACCATCAACCTGCCATAGCTACTGCCATTGCTTTGTTTCCCAGACCCTTTGTAAGCTGCTTGAGGACAGTGATTCTAATTCACACTGCTTCTTTGACCATAATTGAAGCCTGTAACTTATTGATTCCTGATTTCTCTTTATACATTGTCCTTGGATTAATTCATTATTCATTCAAATACTGGGCCTGTCCCATGCAGATGTTGTGCTAGGTGCTGGGATAAGACAGGATGGTGAGGCCCACCTTCATGGGTGGGATTCCCAAAGGGTCCCAGGCCCTGTTTGGGGCAGTTAGACTCGTCCCTAATGAGAAATAACTTTTGTTTTCTTTCTAAACAACAATTACCTAGATAATGAAAATTTACTATATAATTTGCAGGTGGAATGAGTTTTATATACACATATTATTTTCCCCAGTCATCCTATAATAACCACCTTTAGAGAGTGAAAAGCCTGCATATATGTTTTTAGCAATGAAAGGCTTAAAAAAGAAAAAAAAAATTAAAGCAATATCCACAGAATCTCTGTCTTTTCAGACATTTTATCCCCTACCTCATTAATTGCATTGATGATATACTGTACTGAAATACCAGAAGTTATCCTCTAGTATCACAGGTTCCCAAAACCTTTGCTACCCCAATATTTCTTTGTAAGTCCGATAGAAGAGCACTATACTGTCATACTACTGAAGTAACTCATGATTCATAATGTGAGAAATTGGCAGTATGAAAGGAAGAACCAGTAACTGCTTAATTAAAAGTGAGCTTTTTACTACTGGGATGAAAAGAAGGAAAAACATTTTAATACAATCAATGTCAAGGACTGAGCCTGACTTACTGTGAAAGAGAGAATGTTTTGAGCAATTCATTGTTGTTAGTTGCAGTTTTAGTAGAAAATGCTTGAAATAAAAAGTCCTTTTTTTTGGTAAGGGAAGGGGCAGCTGCCCCAAATATGGCAAAAGCCGCTGTGCAAATGGGGCTTCATCTTTCTGGAAGTGAAGAAAGAAGATTTATTTGGCTCCCTTGCCCAGCTTTCTCTCCATGTGTGCCTTGGCTTCCTGTGTGTCTTGAACAGTCTAACCAGCAACTCTGACAACTGCCTGGCCTGAGAGCCCACTGGCTGCTGGCTTCTGACCGTAGTGGGCATATAGTGGACCTTAGGGCCTGGCTTGCAGTCAGGTTCAGTCCTCTGCTTTGACTGTATTCAAATGCTGATTCCTTATTTTTCCTTCTTGCTGTCCAGGGTCTCTCCTGGGCCCACAGCAGCCAGCACAGGGCTCAGTGAAAGGAGTGAGGCCTTCCCTCGAAGCATAGAAACCAAGTCACACTCCAGATTTGTGAGGCTTATCTTTGGTCAGCTCATCAGCAAACCGTGCAAGACCTGTTTAATTTAAAGCCAGGCATAGAGCAGTAGTCTAGAGCTGGTGAAATCTAAGCCTTCTTTTAAAATCCGTTTTGACCAACCTTTTATGTATTCTTGTATTCCCTTCCCAACACCTGTCTCCTGCCTCCTATGTTGAAATAACAAATGAAAAAAATACCCTTTTTCAGTAAAAGGAGTGTGCCCTTCCTGGACATTGGATCCATGCCCAGGGATTCAAAATGTGGAACCACCTTGTAGTTGAGATAATCACATTATAAAGCCCAGTTTTCACTTTAAAAACTCAAATACCTTGGCTGTGTTTCCAAGATAAACTCTACAAGAAACAATACTGTAGTGATTTGGTGTATATGTATTAATGTATCCCATTATATTTAGTAATTTCATGAGCGCGCCTTCTCTAAATTTCAACATAAAATGTGTGCTATTTATGTTCACCCAATGTTTGCAGATTTTCTTAATGTAATGAAAATTTCATTACTGTGGCTATTAAATGAATACCCTCATATTCTACTGTTAGGAGCTAGAGTCCATTAAAAATCAGTAAATTCTGGCTGGGCACAGTGGCTCATATCTGTAATCCTATCACTCTGGGAGGCTTTGGCGAGAGAATCACTTAAGCTCAAGAGTTTGAGACCAGCCTGGACAATACAGCATAGTGAGATCTTGTCTTTACTAAAAAATAAAAAATAAAAAAATTAGCCAGGTGTGGTGGCAGCTGAGGCAAGAGGATTGCTTGAGCCTGGTAGATTGAGGCTGCAGTGAACTGTGAGGATACCACTGCACTCCAGACTAGGCAATAGAGTGAGACCTGGTCTCCAAAAAAAAAAAAAAAAAAAATCAGTGAATTCTTAGAAGATAGTCCTGTGAAGATGCCTTTTCTCAACCTAGTATTTATTGTTTCTTCATTCGTAAGATAGAACTGATAATATTTATGTCAGGGTCATCCTAAATATTAGAATGTATATGAGAAGTACCCACATCTGTCTGGCAGCTGGGAAATACCCTAAACATGAGAGATACTCATAGACTTAGTCATCTCATGACAGCTGCCTTCAGCCTGTCTAGGAGAGGCATCATTTGTTTTGTGTTGCTGTTTTGCATATTAAGAATTTTTTGTTGTGTTTTATCAAAGGCCATAAAGCCTGTATGACTCTTAAAGAAAACTATTGTCAAAAAAGCATAGATCATAAATATGTCAGAATGGAGTTTTTCTAACCATTGATGCACATCATTGCCTACTTGAAGAGCCCCTTTTATCATGTCATATACAATATTGTGCTCATACCTTTTCCAGATTCCAAATTCTAACTTAACTACTTTGTATCTGTTTTTAAATTTTCAAATGGGAGTTACTATGCAAAGTCAAGTCAGTCACTATCTCAGATATTACGACATTTGGCACAGTGAATTTTATGTGGCTTTCTTAACACCTCTATTCAGGTATATGTGACACATGTTTACAGTATATAGTTTGGTAAGTTTTAACATACACATATACTTGTAAAACCATGACCACTAAGTGGTGAATATATCTGTCACCCCTAGAAGTGTCCCCTTGGTAATCCTTCCCCCCCTCGTCTGTCCTCATTCCAGACTGATCTGCTTTCTGTCACTACAGACTAGCTTACCTCTTAATCAACTAGAATTTTATGTAAGTCGAATCATAGTGTATACTCTTTTTCATTGACTTCTTTTACTCTGACAAATTATCTTGAGAATCATCCATGTAGTGTGTTTTAATTTATTTTAGATTTTAACAGTAACTTGAGTTCCTAAAGAGAAACACTACTACTTTGAAAATTTAACCCCTTTTTGAATTTTATCAAGAAATCTCTTGAATGATAGTCTTAGTGAAAACATTGTGTTAATGAAAAGACTGCTACAATCTCTTGTCTTTGTGCAAGTCCAACTCAAGTAATTAACTTATACTTAGTAAAGTTCTTCATACGCTTGAATTGAGAACTCTTCAGGCTCCTAACCAGCATATCGTTACCTTGGAGACGAGAATGTTTTTGGAAACAGTGTGTTTGCTTTGAAAAGTGCTGTATGTCTAATGATAATGCCATAATTACTGATTAATTTATTTTCCTTTCCAGATCCTTTCTGAGAGTTCAGTTATGGGTGTGAGAGGCTTGCAAGGATTTGTGGGAAGTACTTGCCCACATATATGTACAGTAGTAAATTTCAAAGAACTGGCAGAGCACCACCGAAGCAAGTATCCTGGATGTACCCCTACCATTGTGGTTGATGCCATGTGTTGTCTTAGATACTGGTATACTCCAGAATCTTGGATCTGCGGTGGCCAGTGGCGAGAATACTTTTCTGCTTTGCGAGATTTTGTTAAAACTTTTACGGCGGTTGGGATCAAGTTAATATTCTTCTTTGATGGCATGGTGGAGCAGGATAAGAGAGATGAATGGGTGAAACGAAGGCTTAAGAACAACAGGGAGATATCCAGGATTTTTCATTACATCAAGTCACACAAGGAGCAGCCAGGCAGGAACATGTTCTTCATCCCCTCGGGGCTGGCTGTGTTTACGCGATTTGCTCTAAAGACACTGGGCCAGGAAACTTTGTGTTCCTTACAGGAGGCAGATTATGAGGTGGCTTCCTATGGTCTCCAGCATAACTGTCTTGGGATTCTTGGGGAAGACACTGATTACCTAATTTATGACACTTGTCCCTACTTTTCAATTAGTGAGCTCTGCCTAGAGAGCCTGGACACCATCATGCTCTGCAGAGAGAAGCTCTGTGAGAGTCTGGGCCTCTGTGTGGCCGACCTTCCTCTTTTGGCCTGCCTCCTTGGCAATGACATAATCCCAGAGGGCATGTTTGAGAGCTTCAGATACAAATGCTTATCATCCTACACCTCTGTAAAAGAGAACTTTGACAAAAAAGGTAACATTGTATTAGCTGTGTCAGACCATATATCGAAAGTTCTTCACTTGTATCAAGGTGAGAAAAAATTAGAAGAGCTATTACCTCTGGGACCAAACAGAGCTCTTTTTTATAAAGGAATGGCATCGTATCTTTTACCAGGACAGAAATCTCCTTGGTTTTTCCAAAAACCCAAAAGTGTAATAACTTTGGACAAGCAAGTTGTATCTATGAGTTCAGACCCTGAATCCAGGCAAGAAGTTCCGATGTGTACAGACCCTGAATCCAGGCAAGAAGTTCCGATGTGTACAGACCCTGAATCCAGGCAAGAAGTTCCGATGTGTACAGACCCTGAATCCAGGCAAGAAGTTCCCATGGGTACAGACCCTGAATCCAGGCAAGAAGTTCCTATGTGTACAGGCCCTGAATCCAGGCAAGAAGTTTTAATGTGGACGGACTCTGAATCTAGGCAAGAAATTATCATGTATACAGGCCATGAGTCCAAACAGGAAGTTCCTGTATGTACAGATCCTATATCCAAGCAAGAAGATTCCATGTGTACACACCCTGAAATCAATCAAAAATTACCTGTAGCAACAGATTCTGAATTTAAGCTTATGTGTACAAATCCTGAAATTAAACAAGAAGACTCTGCCAACGTGGGGCTTGAAATAAAGCAACAAGTAACCATGGTTTCAGACACTGAAATCTTAAAGGTATGTGAATATGCCCAGCCAATATGCCATGATTGAGAATATATCCACTGATGGATTTGTCAGGGAAGATCCATTACTGCCTTAGTGTTTGGGCACTGTGAGAGGATGCACAACAGAAGCCTGTAAGTCTCGTTAGGAAGTGTGACGTGTGTGAAAACTCATAAATAATGTTTGATACTGTCACATGAATATTATAGAAAAGTGCCATAAGAATATGAGAGACAAAGAGAACATTGTGGGTTAAAGTATAGGGAGAAGGCTGGGTGCAGTGGCTCACGCCTGTAATCCCAGCACTTTGGGAGGCCGAGGCAGGTAATCACCTGAGGTCAGAAGTTCAAGACCAGCCTGACCAACATGGTGAAACCTCATCTCTACTAAAAATACAAAAATTAGTCAGGTGTGGTGGCACACACCTGTAACTTCAGCTACTCGGGAGGCCGACGCAGGAGATTCTTCTGAACCTGGGAGGCAGAGGTTGCCGTGAGCTGAGATTATGCCACTTGTGCTCCAGCCTGGGCAACAAGAGCAAAACTCGTCTCAAAAAATAAAGTACAGGGAGAAGTTCCCCAAAGAGGTAGAACTGGAGCCAGACCTTAATGGTAGCCAAAATATGCATTGAATAGGCTAAGATGTGGGAGTTATAGAAGTAATAAAACTGTAGTGTTTTGAATCTGCATCACTGGGGGCACAGGGTGAAAGGTCAGGCTAGAGTGGGTTTTGCAGGAAGAAGCAAGAAGGAAAAAACAGGAAAAGGTAGACAATCATAGCCACATTGGGAAGGTTATTAAATAGCACAGGAGGAATCTGGACTTAGTTCTGAAAGTATTATAGAGCAAAGATTTTTGTTGGTAGGGGGGGCACGACATACGAGTTCTGTGGTAGGTGTATTATATAACTTTTCTCATTAGATCCTCTCAACAGCTCTGTGAGGTAGACTTATCCTTGTTTTACAGAAGAGATCTGTGTCCACATAAATGTCTCAAAGGAACCTCAACAAGTTCTAAACCAAATTCAACCATCTTTTTTTTTTTTTTTTTGAGATGGAGTTTCACTCTTGTTACCCAGGCTGGAGTGCAATGGCGCGATCTCGGCTCACCGCAACCTCCACCTCCTGGGTTCAGGCAATTCTCCTGCCTCAGCCTCCTGAGTAGCTGGGATTATAGGCACGCGCCACCATGCCCAGCTAGTTTTTTGTATTTTTAGTAGAGACGGGGGTTTCACCATGTTGACCAGGATGGTCTCGATCCCTTGACCTCGTGATCCACCCACATCGGCCTCCCAAAGTGCTGGGATTACAGGCATAAGCCACCACGCCTGGCCCAAACTCAACCATCTTAACCACACACCTTTCCTTGTTCCCAGCACTGTGAGTGCCACCATCTTTCATCTAGTTGCAGCTACATAGATCTGTAAGGAAGCTCCTGCTCCTAGTCTGATGGAAAACTCAGGCCTGGGCAGCAGCTGCGCAGCTGAGCAGCTGTGTGGTAAGGCTTGGAAAGCAGTGATGTGAACATGCCAGCCAACCAGCCAAGGGCTTTCCTGGAACACCACTGTCACCTCCCACCTCCGAACCCTCTCTGTGTGCTTGTTTTGATCTGGCCCCCTTCCACCTCCTGGCTCTTGCTGCCATCCGTTATTTGTATATGGCCTTGCACGTGTCCTCTGTGGACTCGGGGTCTGTCTGTGAAAGCTGGTCTTCACAAACACTGGCTTGTATGCACCCTGCTGATAGGACCCTCCCTTGGCCTTTCCATTTGAGTTAATATGCTGGACATCCCACCCATATTCCGCTAGATTAGGTCAGACCACAGATGGCATCAGGTGTATTATGGAATAACGTAGGACTTGATTTTCACACTCATTGAGGATGCATTCGATTTTTTTAAGCAGGTATATTGATGTGATCAGATTTTGGCTTTTGAAACATTGCACTGCAGAGAGTGGATTTAAAGTGGCCATTGCAGAAACTCAGGTAAAATACAAAAGAGCTAGAATTAGGAAAATGGTAGTGGAAATAGAAAGACAGAAATTCAAGAAATGGTCTCAGCAGTGAAACTAATAAATAAGCCTTGCTGTGGAGATGAGGTTCCCTTGAGCACCGCGGATGGTAGATGCTGTTATCTAAGGAAGGAGGAGGAAAGGTTTTTACAGGGAGAATTAACTGGGTTATATTTGAGTTGAGTAGATGGCACCTCTAACACATGTTCTAGTGAAATATGGGCCTAAAGTTCTGTTACTGGCGGGAGACAGACATCTGGAAGTCATCCCATTTTATGTGTGAAGTAAAAGATTATGTGGGATGGAGACTTAAGAAACAGTGCACTGAGAGATCAGGAGTGAGCAGAGGAGAATGGAGAATAAGGAGAGACATTCCCGCAAAAGTCCAAGGAGACAGGTTTCAAGAGAATGAGAAAAGAAATGGTCAGGAGTGTCAAATGCTGCAAAGGGAAAGAAGTAGAATAGGACTAGACATAGGCAGTTAGGTCAGCAATTGGGAGGTCTTGGTGACCTCAGGGAGTTACTGAAGCACAGGATTGAGAAGGGAGGCAAAGACTGCAGGGAGTTTGGCAGTAGAAGAGTTTTTATTGGGGAAGGTGGGGTCGAGGAGAGTCCCCGCAGGGAGTTCCCTGGCAAAGTGGTGGGTCGAGTGTTGTTCATATGTGTTTAACTTAATTGTATCTTTGAAAACAATTTTGAAGTTTCTCGCATTGCCCTTACATTTTCCCTATAAAAATGTTTTGCAATGTCATCTTCCATTCCTATCTAATAGGCAACTAAAATTCAAACGTTTGTTTTAACCATACGCACTCACCCTGGGAAAATGCTGTGGGGCACAGCAGTTACATTGAATACACACACAACCACAGCTATATATCTGTGTCTTCTCTATGTCAGCATTTTGGAAGATCAGTTGAGTTTTTGTTTGTTTGTTTCTTTCTTTCTTCCTTAGACAGGGTCTCACTGTCATCCAGGTTGGAGTGCAGTGGAATAATAGCCTCTGCCTCCCAGGTTCAAGCGATTCTCCCACCTCAGCCTCCTGAATAGGGAGGCAGGGGTTATTACAGGTGCACGCCACCACGTCCAGCTAAGTTTTGTATTTAGTAGAGATGGGGTTTCACCATGTTGCCCAGGCTGGCCTCGAACTCCTTACTTAAAGTGATCCTCCCACCTTGACCTCCCAAAGTGCTGGAATTACAGGCATGAGCCACTGCACCCGGCTAGATAGTCTTATAATAATCTTATAAAACATTCATTGGCAGTGAGCTGTGCCAGACGTCGGGACAAGTGCTTTTCTTACATTGACTCATTTAATCCTCACAATAGTCCTGTTAGCCTGACACGTTTTTTTTTTTTTGTTTCGTTTTTTTTTTTTTTTTTTTTTTTTTTTTTAAATTAAACCCATTTTCTTTAGGAAGAAAGTAAGGAACAGAAAGATTCAGACTCAAGCCTACCAGTCATGAATCAGCATAACTATGACCATTTAAGTAAATGAGGCACACGCTCTTAGGATTCAGAGGTTCTGGTATTCCAGGTTATGCTAGCATCACATTTTAGTGCCTTTAGTAGTAGACTATTTGGATTTAAATTTTGACTAGTAATCTAGATGAATTTATCTCACACTAATAAGAATGTTCTTCACAGGAAGGTAAAACCTATATATTTAGACTGTGATAGACCTTCTGATCTTAACTACTTATTTAATGAGAAAGTGGAATTAGTTTAAATCCTGTATCTGATCACCTACCATGAGCCAGCACTGTCTTAACTTTACAGTGGAGAAGTGCCTGTGCCTGACACATCGTTTACACTCAATAAACAATTTCTGAATAAATGAGTGAGTGAATACAGTATGGTTTCTAATGCTAAGCAGCTTAGAATTTAATAAGGGAGGCAGACCAGACAGCTATGTTACAGGGACTGGGATATGAGCTTTATAAGGCAAGCTGGAGGTTGGTCCTGGCTAAGGGAGGAGGGGTAGGGCGGCATGAGGTGAACCTTAAAGGGAAAAGAACTGTGAAGTGGGAGGCTGGGAAAGATTGGAAGAGAAAGACATTCTGGGTGGGGTAAGTTCTTATGGGCATAAGTAAAGCTAGAAGTGGATTGAGTACTCTTGAGAAACAGTGCACATGTTCTGTTGAGACTGGATTATGGCAGTTTCTATGAGGGTGAAATGATGTTCAAGGCTAGAAAAAGGAGATTGAGGCTTTATAGTGGGGCCTTGAAATGTTATGGTGAAGGATTTGTGGTAGCCATTCAAATGTTTTGAATAGGGTAGCAAAGTTTTCAAAGACGGTGTGGCAGTGGTGTGAAGGATGGGTTGGAAAGGGGAGAAACCGGGCTAGGGGATTAAGACCCTTTCATAGCAATACTGTTGAGAAGTAGTGAGCACCTGGGTACTGGGAGGGTATCAAGGAGACAACAGTGAGATACTGTGGAAGATAAGACTGTAGACATTTGGAGAAAGGAGGAGGAGTAATAGAAAGTTTTGAAATTGGTGGTCCGCACATGGCCAGCCAGGTTTCCCAACACCATTTATTCAATGGAATCCTTTCCCTATTGCCTGTTTTTGTCTGATTTGTCAAAGATCAGATGGTTGTAGACGTGTGGCCGTATTTCCGAGACCTCTGTTCTGTTCCATTGGTCTGTATCTCTGTTTTGGTAGCAGTATCATGCTGTTTTGATTACTGTAGCCTTGTAGTATAGTTTGAAATCAGGTAGCATGATGCCCCCATCTTTGTTCTTTTTGGTTGGGATTGCTGGGCTGTGTGGGCTCTTTTTTGGTTCCATATGAAGTTTAAGATGGTTTTTTCCAGTTCTGTGAAGAAGGTCAATGGTAGTTTGATGGGGCTAGCATTGAATCTATAAATTACTTTGGGCAGTGTGGCCATTTTCATGATAACTGGTTCTTCCTAACCATGAGCGTGGAATGTTTTTCCATCTGTTTGTATCCTCTCTTATTTCCTTGAGCAGTGGTTTGTAGTTCTCCTTGAAGAGGTCCTTCACATCCTTTGTTAGTTGTATTCCTAGGTAGTTTATTCTCTTTGTAGCAGTTGTGAATGGGAGTTCACTCTTATTTGGTTCTCTGTTTGTCATTGGTATATAGGAATGCTATGATTTTTGCACATTGATTTTATATCCTGAGACTCTGTTGAAGTTGCTTATCAGCTTAAGGAGATTTTGGGCTGAGACGATGGGGTCTTCTAAATATACAATCATGTCATCTGTAAATAGAGACAATTCGACTTCTCTATTCCTAATTCAATACCCTTTATTTCTTTTTCTTGCCTGTTTTGCTCTGGCTGGACTTCCTTTACTATGTTGAATAGGAGTGGTGAGAGAGGTCACCCTTGTCTATTGCCAGTTTTCAAAGGGAATGGTTCCAGTTTTTGCCCATTCAGTACGATATTGGCTGTTGGTTTGTCATAAATAGCTTTTATTATTTTGAGATATATTCCATTGACACCTAGTTTATTGAGTTTTTAGCATAAATGGCTGTTGAATTTCCTCGAAGGCCTTTTCTGCATTTATTGAGATAATCATGTGGTTTTTGTCTTTGGTTCTGTTTATGTGATAGATCACAGTTACAGATTTGCATATGTTGAACCAGCCTTGCATCCCCAGGGATGAAGCCTACTTGATCGTGAGGGATAAGCCTTTTGATGTGCTGTTGCTTTCGGTTTGTCAGTATTTTATGGAAGGTTTTTGCATGATGTTCCTCATGGATATTGGCCTGAAGTTTTCTATTTTAGTTGTATCTCTTCCAGGTTTTGGTATTAGGATGATGTTGGTCTCATAAAATGAGTTAGGGAGGATTCCATCTTTTTGTGTTGTTTGGACTAATTTAAGAAGGAATGGTACCAGTTCTTCTTTGTACATCTGGTAGAATACGGCTGTGAACCCATCTGGACCTGGACTTTTTTTGGTTGGTAGGCTATTAATTGCTGTCTCTACTTCAGACCTTGTTATTGGTCCATTCAGGGATCCAACTTCTTCCTGGTTTAGTCTTGGGAGGATGTAAGTGTCCAGGAATGTATCCATTTCTTCTAATTTTACTGGTTTATGTGCACAGAGTTGTTTGTAGTAATCTCTGATAGTAGTTTGTATTTCTGTGGAATTGGTGATAATATCCCCTTTATCATTTTTTTATTGCAGCTGTTCAATTCTTCTCTCTTTTCTTTTTTATTAGTCTGGCTAGTGGTCTTATCTATTTTGTTGATCTTTTCAAAACACTGGCTCCTGGATTTATTGATTTTTTTTCTGAAGGGTTTTTTTGTGTGTCTGTCTCTTTAGTTTTCCTCTGATCTTGGTTGTTTCTTGTCTTCTGCCAGCTGTTGAATTTGTTTGATCTTGCTCCTCTAGCTCTTTTAATTTTGACGATAGGGTGTTGATTTTAGATCTCTGCTCGCTTTTCATATGGAGTTTATTGCTATAAATTTCCCTCTAGACACTGCTTTAAATGTGTCCCAGAAATTCTGGTACGTTGTGTCTTCGTTCTCATAGGTTTCAAAGAACATCTTTATTTCTGCCTTCATTTCATTATTTATCCAGTAATCATTCAGGAGCAGGTTGTTCAGTTTCCATGTAGTTGTGCGGTTTTCAGTGAGTTCTTAATCCTGAGTTTTAATTTGATTGCACTGTGGTCTGAGAGTCTGGTTATAATTTCTGTTCTTTTGCACTTGCTGAAGAGTGATTTACTTCCAATTATGTGGTCAATTTTAGAGTAAGTGCGATGCGGTGCTGAGAAGAATGTATATTCTGTGGATTTGGGTTGGAGAGTTCTGTAAATGTCTATTAGGTTTGCTTGGTCCAGGTCTGCATTCAAGGCCTGGATATCCTTGTTAATTTTCTGTCTCATTGCTCTGTCTAATATTGACAGTGGAGTGTTGAAGTCTCCCACTATTATTGTGTGGGAGTCTAAGTCTCTTTGTAGGTTGTTAAGAACTTGCTTTATGTATCTGGGTGCTCCTGTATTGGGTGCATGCATATTTAGGATCGTTAGCTGTTCTTGTTGCATTGTTCCTTTTACCATTATATAATGCCCTTCTTTGTCTCTTTTGATCTTTGTTGGTTTAAAGTTTGTTGAATCTGGAAACCATCATTCTCAGCAAACTGACACAAAAAAAGAAAACCAAACAGCACATGTTCTCACTCGTAAGTGGGTGTTGAACAGTAAGAACACATGGATACAGGGAGGGAAACATCACACACTGTGGTCTGTTGCGGGGTGAAGAGCTAGGGGAGGGATAGCAGGGGGTGGGGAGATAGGGAGAGAGAACATTAGGAGAAATACCTAATGTAGGTGAAGCGGGGTTGGAGGCAGCAAACCACCATGGCATGTGTATACCTATGTAACAATCCTGCAAGTTCTGCACATGTATCCCAGAACTTAAAGTAAAATTTAAAAAAAAAGAAGAAAAGAAAAGAAATTGGTAGTCCGAAGGAAAGAAAACATGGCAACTTGATGTCATGAATTTGAGTGTCAATTATTGCATTTCTGAGGGCCTTAAAAAACTGACATATGATGAAAGGCATTGACTTTTTCTATTTGAAGGTTACTGTTTTGTTTTCAAGGAGAAATTCATTTGTATTTAAATTTCAAACAGGTTGCTAGAGCACATCACGTCCAAGCAGAAAGCTACCTGGTGTACAACATCATGAGCAGTGGAGAGATTGAGTGTAGCAACACCTTGGAAGATGAGCTTGACCAGGCCTTACCCAGCCAGGCCTTCATTTACCGACCCATTAGACAGCGTGTTTACTCACTCCTACTGGAGAACTGTCAAGGTGAGAATTGGTTGGTCCCTCTTAGTAATGCTTCTGTTTGGAATTGAATTCTGAGAAACTGGCCAGATGAAATACAGTGCATTCTTTCAGGACATGGAGACAGTTAAATGGGTTTTGTTTCCCTGTCAAATCTATAATTGAGAATAACACTGACATCCGTAAAAAATTAAGTATAAATGTCACGGGACATCTATATCTAATTAGCAGGTGGTTGATCAGTACGCATTAAAAGAAGAATGCATTATTTCTATAAAATATCATATTTGTATGCCTTAAAAGGATTTAGGCTTTTTAAAAAAAATGTGAAAACTCTTTCCTCCTGTAGGGGAGTGTAGGGTATGCCTATTATTAGAAGAAAACAATGTCTACTTAGTCTTCCCTCAAAATGTGATTCTTATAAAATAATTTTACAAAATCTAGTACATCATATTTTTAAGTACAATTTTCCTCTAGAGTTTTTGTAATTAAATTTATGTTTTTTTCTCATCTATATTTCCATTATGTACTTAGTGAAACAGTGAAAATGAGAGGAATTTTAACACTAAGGAGAAAGTTAACTCACCATTCAAAATAGTTTTGGGGGAAATTAGGAGTGTGGAAGAACACTTCAAATTAGAAACCAGAGATGTTTAATGTATTTAGTGACCTTTTATTTAAATAAGGCCTTGTTCTTTTTAGACAGAAATCCTAGACAGGTACTTTATGGTCTGTTTTAAGAGTATGTTGATAAGAAACATAGTCTACACACTACTACCAGGATAAGAGATAGAAGGAGCAGGATGCCAGTGAAAGGGTATCTGTGGTCCATTTGCCTAAACATCATGATTTCCACACGTCAATATTAATATTATTCTGTTGTTCCAGAAAGTGAACATTTACATAATCTAAAAGTGATGACAGAATCATCTGATGAAAAAGTCATCATTATCATTTTTGGATGATGGGGCTCATGGGTGGTGGGGTTATATAAATCTAGTTTTCATTAGATTCTTGTAGTACCCCCAGCATGCATTGCTTTCTCCCATACATACTGCAAGAGTTCACCTCTGTGACCTAAGGAAGAAGACACGAGAAAGATGTTTAAGCTGATTTACAAACAGAAATAAAGAACCTGTGTAATAAACTCTGGAACCAAATATTATTTAAATCGTTTTTAAAATTTCCTTTTCTTATGTGCTCTCCACCCGCATGCTTTCTTAACATGGATGTTTGCACATTGACTAATGATGGAAAAAAGACATCTTCCTCATGAAAACATTTTTACATTAATAATATTGGAAAAATTTTCAAACTATTTCATTAAATGAGATTAAACTATATAAAATTCACTAACCTAAATTTCATACTTTGTTTATGTGATGTATTTGCGACCATATGGATAACTTTATTAGATAACCACATAAACAGGAAAAACCATTCACACTGAATTTGTCCTCACAGTTGATCTTTAGTTTCTTTCTTTCTCCTTCAAATTTTTGACTTTCTTCATGAAGTTTACATTATTAAGATATAAAAATAAAACGCTGTTTTTGCTGATTTATATATGATGATAATAACCAAGCATATTCTATGTTATTTTTTTGGCTTAGTTTATAATCTCATTTGTATTTGAAAGTGTTGTGTATTTTACAATTGTTGAGTAGAGTGTTCTGTAAATATCAGTAGTGTTAATAAGGTTATTCAAGTCTTTTACTGATTTTCTGTCTACTTGTTCTTAGTTCCTGAGAGAAAAGGCTTAAAAACTCCAGCCCTTATTTGTCTGTTTATTCCTTCAGTTCTGTCAGTTTTTGCTTTAGGCATTTTGAAACTGTTGTTAGGTGCAAATGCATTCCTCAATGAATTCATTGCATTTCTTAATGAATCGACCGGTTCAACAGGACAGTTCACTTTTAAAAACATGGTGATATGCCTTGTCCTAAAGTTGTCTGCTTTATAGTAATGTAGTCACTTCAGTACTCTTACTGTTAATGTTTGCATGATATGGTATTTTTTTCTGTCCTTTTGCTTTTAAACTATTTCTTTACATCTAAAGTGCATCTCTTTTAAAAACAGCATGTCAAATGTCACAGTCTCTTTTAATTGGAATGTTCACACTGAATGTAACTTTTGGCATAATTAGTGCTCAGTCTTCCATTTTGCTCTTTGTTCTTTTTTTCCCAACTTATTTTCTCATTTTCTTACTTCTTTTGGATTAGTTGAATAATTTTTAGTATTGTGTTTTATGCACTCATTTAGATTATTAGATTTACCTTTTTTAAAAAACAAAAGTGGGCCGGGCGCGGTGGCTCAAGCCTGTAATCCCAGCACTTTGGGAGGCCGAGGCGGGTGGATCACGAGGTCAAGAGATCGAGACCATCCTGGTCAACATGGTGAAACCCCGTCTCTACTAAAAATACAAAAAATTAGCTGGGCATGGTGGCGCGTGCCTGTAATCCCAGCTACTCAGGAGGCTGAGGCAGGAGAATCGCCTGAGCCCAGGAGGCGGAGGTTGTAGTGAGCCGAGATCACGCCATTGCACTCCTGTGTGGGTAACAAGAGCGAAACTCCGTCTCAAAAAACAAAAAAACAAAAAAAACAAAAGTGGTTGGTCTAGGTTTACGGTATCTATTAGGTTGGTGCAAAAGTAATTGCAGTTTTTGAAATTTTAATATTTTTAACATCATAATTTACTCTCAAATAATATACCAAGTTACTTATAATATAAAAACCTTATGACTGTATGTTTTCATCCTCCCCAACATTTTTGCTATTGTTATTTTATGTCTTGTACAAAGGCATATTTTCTTAAATTTGAAGTAATTACAGATTCGCAGGAAGTTGCAAGAATAGTACATAGATTCCCATGTAACGTTCACTCAGATTCCTCCAAAGGTGACGTATGGCTGTGGTACAGTATCAAAGCCAGAAAGTTCACATCAGTTACAATGTTAACTAAACTGGAGACCGTCTTCACTTGTGCCAGTTTTTGCATGCATGCATTTATCTGTGTGGTTATGTAGGTCTGTGAAAGATCCTGCAACCATTACCACAGTCAAGATGCAGAGCTGGTCCGTCACCACTCCCTCCATGTGCTTCTTGGTCCTGGCATTCTTTCTTTCCCCAGTTGCTGCCCTCTGGCAACTGCTAATCTGTTTTTCATCTCTATGTTCTTGTTGATTTGAGATATATAAATGGCAGCATATATTCTGTAACCCTTGGAGATTATCCATATGCTTTAAACCCTATAATACAGGATTTAAACTTTTTTAGTTTAAAGTGGGAGTTGACACAGTTTTTCTGTGAGGGGTCAGGTAATAATAAATATTACAGGTTTTGAGGACGACCACCCCCCGCAGCAAACAGTCTCTGTCACAGCTACCCAGTCCTGCTGTTGTTGTGCAAGAGCAGCCATAGACAACATGTAAATGAATGAGTGTGGCTGTGTGCCAGTAAGCTTTTATTTAATTTTCGTATGTGACAAAACTTGAATTTTATTTATTTATTTATTTATTTATTTATTTAGAGACAGTCTCAGCCTGTTGCCCAGGCTGGAGTGCAGTGGTCACAGCTCACTGTGGCCTTCAACTCCAAGGTTGAAGCCTCAGCCTCTTGAGTGACTGAGATGACAGGCATGCGCACCCAGCTAATTAAAAAAAAAATTTTTTTTTGAGAGATAGGATATTGCTATGTTACCCAGGCTGGTCTCAAACTCCTGACCTCAAGCGATCCTCCTACCTCAGCCTCCTTAAGTGCTGGGATTACAGATGCGAGTTACTGCACCAGGCCCAAACTTGAATTTTATAGAGTATAGTTTTCAGGAGTCACATAATATTCTTAAAAACATTTTTCGAACCATTAAAAAAATATGAAAACCACTTAGCTTTCAGGCTGTAAAAAAGCAGAAAAATGTGACCCATGAGCTGTAGATTGCCAATTCCTACTTTAAATAGTCAATTATCTTTTACAGAAATTAAGAAGCAAAAAGTCTTACATATGTACCATTTCCTGTGCTTGATCTTTGCATAGATCCAAGTTTTTCATCCAGTAGGTACACAGTTTTAAATTTTCTGAGATTTTTTTCCCCTGAGAATGTCTTCAGAGATAAGTGTCACTTAACAATAGGAATACATTCTGAGAAATATGTCCTTAGGCAGTTTGTTGTTGTGGGAAGCCTAGAAGGGATAGCCCACCACACACCTAGGTCATATGGTGTAGCCCATTGCCCCCAGGCTACAGACCTGTGCAGCATGTGCCTGTACTGAAAACTGTTGGCAGCTGTAACATAATGGTAAGTATTCGTGTATCTAAACATACCTAAACATAGAAAAGGCAGTAAAAATACAGAATCAAAGATAAATATGGTGCCCCTTTGCAGGCCACCTGCCATGCATGGACTTTGCAGGACTAGAAGCTGCTTTGGTGAGTCAGTGAGTGAGTCAGGAGTGGATGGGAAGTCCAGGATGTGACTGTGCCCTGCTGTAGGCTTTATAAACACTGTACACTTAGGGCTATGCTACATTCATAAAAATTATTTCTTTCCTCAACAATAAATTAACTTACTGTAACTTTTTTACTTTATAAACTTTAAAAATTTTTTAAACTGTTTGAGTCTTATAACAACTTGCTTAAATACAAACATAGAACTATACAAAAATATTTTCTTTCTTTATATCATTCTGTAAGCCTTTTTCTATTAAAAAAACTTTTTAACTCTACTTTCTGAATTCATACTTAAAAAATTTTTTTTTCAACTTTGTAAAAAATTCAGACACAAGCATACACATTAGTCTAGGATTACATAGGGTCAGGATCATCAAGGTGTCCCTAGGAATGTGTATGCAGTCTGTCACTGATTGGGTCATCGTTACTCAGGGCAGGACTATATTTCATCTTTATTTGAAGGGTATAGTTTTGCTGCATATACGATTTTAGGTAGCTTTTTGTTTGGCACTTTAAGGATGACATTATATTTTCTTCTGGCTTGTGTAGTGTCTCCTGAGACGACAAGGCTCATCTTTATA